TTTTTACTTTGGCTTGGTGAGTGGATGTTCCACGTAGACATGATAAGGTGATGGCTTTCACGTTTCTTAACTCTGCCGCACTATTCTCACCTGCACGGCGCATATGACCAAGGCACGTAACCCACGTACACACAGCCAATCAGCATGCGCTGATTGGTTGCGTAGCGAAAGTGAACCGTATCGTATCATTGGCTGGATTCCTGTCACTCACTAAGTTCGATCACAAAGTAGTACGGAAAAAAAAAAATTTATTGGTCCATAGTCAAAACTGATGTCTGAGCTCAATGTCCACTTTACGTTGGACTTTATTTTATGCGCTACATAGATTTTCTTGTGCGCTGCGAATATGTGAGTAGTGCGCGATTGCGCAGGCGCGCAGCTTAGAGGGAACATTGGTTGGGTACCACAGTCCTGCACTATGACGGAAAGAGGTTTACCTCCACTAATTTTTAACATGCAACCAAACAATCCATCTGCTTTATCAGCTGACTCTCTTTGTTGATTGGCAAATTTCCGATTTCCATATTGATTCCATTAATTCCAATTATTTGTTGTGATAACTTTGATAAATAGGAACTTATTTGTGATAATCTACTATAATTGTAAAAAGATGTGATCATTAACTCTGAATTGTTATTTTTAGGCCATAAAATGATTTAACGTTAACATCAATGTTAAAAATACAGACACATCACAAAGTTCAACATACGTTTTTTTTAATAAAACAAAGATAATTGGAAACAGTTTTGGAAACAAACACGATCCAGAACTCTTAAGAATTTCTAATCGCTGGCTGAAATCACACACAAAAAATCTAAATATTACAATAAAAATTACCCTTGATAATAACTTCTCATACTTGCATGTTTTTCAAACATCAAAACATACTTTGATCAGTATATCTTATTGATGTGTTGAATTGTAAGAAAAAAAACCCTAAAAAAAATGGCAAGACCAAAACCATATGATTTAAAATTTATTTATGTTTTTCCATGGCTTTATCCTCCTTTAAATGCTATGAAAATGGACAAAGAATGAGCTCAAGAATCCTTTTAAAAACAATTTTTTGCTGAAAGAAGTTTGCTTGGAAGACAGGTAAGCAATATTTTCAATAGGTTGGATAGCAATGAAGAAGAGACCTGAATGGACAAGCTCATAAAGTTGTAAAACATTCTGGCTCCTTCCAGGTCACAGGCAATTATATTTGAGAATGAGGGAGAGGCAGGGAGGAGAAGCGTTCCTGATTTTCTTCAGACAAACCACAGGAATGTGTTGAATTCCTCATTCTTTTCTGTTGACTTAGGTACAGAGCAGTGTTTTAATGTTCTCTTAAATCAAACTGCCACCAACCTTTCTGTACACGATGGGATGTGGTAGCTTGCAATCAGCCTTCACACTGAGCTTTCTGACCGGGTAGGAAATCCGATTCATGGAGACAGTGTGGGCAAGCTGTTCAAAAAGACAAATTCTAAATGTAAAATTCCAAACTGCACTTTAAAGTCAAAAATTTCATTTACAAAGATGTGCCTTTCCCACTTTGAGAAGATATCCAAAGGGGCGGTTGATTACCTAAAAACAGTTGCAGGTCACCAAAGGAATGAGGGTGTTGGTGTAATGCAAATAACTTCTGCCACAACATTTTTCACTGCTTCATGGAGAGAAAACATTATTGGTTCTCTAGAAGTGGGTTAGTGCCTGCAAAACTCCGCTTTAGTACACAGAAAAGAAAACTTTCCTTGTAATTTTATGTTGCTAGAAGTTAAAGCTAATTAAAAGTTTTGTGGTTGATTAATATACAAAGAATAATAAATACAGTTAGTATTTGCTGTAATGTTTAGTCTATCTACAAAAAATATCAAATTGTATGATTAAAGCAACAAAGAAAAGTTATGTTCCTCTAAAGTTTTTTTTTTCTCTTTGTATGAACATGTATGTGATATATAATCACTGTTAAAAACATACAGGTTGCAGAAAATTGTTTCAGAAAAGTGCACAAACTTCTTTTCTGACTTATTCTTTATGGAGAATAAAAGGAATTTTATGTTCAGCAAGTCTTTTTGTTAAAGGAGAGTCAAGATGAATATGTAGACTTTGTAACCACCGTTTGATGTTGTTGCTGAATTGAGAATGTGAAGTTATGTAATATTGCCAATTGCAGTTGTGTCAATGTCAAAGTGGGGCTTCAAAATTCTTCTAAAATTAAAAAAACCTGAACATGTGCCAGGTACTATCAGTTGACAATGTTGATGATGTGTAAACTGGCTTGGTGTCAAACCTCACAGCAGCACACTGCATTTTATTTGGAAAGAAAAGCAGGAATTATGAGAGGCGAAGTAAACGCACGTTCAACTAGCTGTAAAACAAAAACTGGTGAAATGCTTTGATTTTCAGTGGTAAAAATGCAGTTGGAGTGAACAGAGTTTATGTTTAGCTTGTGAGAGAACTTTATTGCAAGTTATTAAACATGCAATGTGATGTTTGAATTTTATGCATTTTTAAATTTTGTCAGTTTACAATAACTAACTTCAATGAATTTAGTTCTATTTAGTTCCCCCTTTTGATTGTGCTTTTGCAAGTAAATTTTATTTCTCTGGATGAGTTGTATACACAGTATGTGTGGTGAAAGTATGGTGTCTTCTAAACCGACACATAAGTACTGCATCATTGTGAAGAGAAAGGATAATGACAAATAATTGTGTAATTATCTTACAAATGAGAAAAGGTGTGCATTCACCCCCTTTTTGTCAGCAGAACTACCTTTTAAAACTCATCACATCTGAAAGTGTTTCGCAAGATAACTGAGCCTTAATCAGAAGTTAGGTACTTAAATCTGTGCTTTGATTGGGCCATTCTAATATAAGCCAGTGCATTGAAGCTGTATCTTTAGGGACGTTGTCATCTTGGAATAAAAACTTCTGCTCCATGTTTTCTCCATTTTAATTTTCTTCTAGGTCTGCTCTGTATTTTGCTCAATACATAGTCCCATCAGCTCTAATAAGAAACCCTCATAGCATGATGCTACTACCTCTGTGTTCTACTATGGGAATGATGTGTTTGTAGCTCATGTGCAGTTTCACTTTTCAAACACAGGTAGTGTTTTGCTTTGCAAGGTCATTTACATCAGAACACTTTCAAAAATATAATAAGACCCAATATTTTCCCCTTTTTTGGCAATTACAATGTAATGTACAACATGTCATCTTTAGATTAGATATAACAAAGCTGATATTTTCAACGTTAAGACATGTGTGACATGACATGTACCTGCCAGAACCAATATGTTATAACTGTAACAGTCTGTTTTGTGTCTCTGTAAGATACAGTTAAGTTTGTGTTCTGTGTGTATTGGCCTTTAGAGGCATGTACAGGAACACAGAGTGGCTCCTCTGTTCCTTGCACCTGACCCCGAAAGAAAAATTTAATGAAGCAGCTCCCTGTAATATTTTGATGGATACCTTTCTGTAGGCTGTGTGCGGCTTTTAGGATGTGTGTGTATGCGCTCGTGTTGTTGTTGTCTCAATATGTTGTTCGACAACTAGCTTTGTGTAGTCAGCTGTCCAGTTCTGTGTCTGTGTCATTAATCACAGACCCAACACAGCAGAGAAAAGGGGGTTAGGAGGGAAAGAGAATGGGCCAGGCGAGAGTCGTAATCTGTACAAGGCACCTAGAGAAAGATGTGGAAGATGTGTGGAGGTTGGAAACAAAGGAACCGAGGGGAGGCCGGTCAAGAAGAGAAGGCTGTTTAAGCTTGCAGGCAGTAGATAAGGTTGTTTGTGGATGGTTTGAGTTTGGCTATATTCTTTTTTGGAAGGAGACAAATGACGTTTTCAAGAGCTGACAGTTTCTTTTTGCCTCTGTGAAATATTTGTGACATGCTTCCAGAGATACAGGGCAGCAGCTCTCTCTTTCTTTGTTTATACTGGCCACTTGACAGCATGGACATATTATGCATTAATGTCTTCACCAAAAGAAAAACTTGTGTTTTTGCTAACCTGTATTATTAAATTTAAAATTAGTTATTATGTTCATACCCACAATTTAACTGTTTCACAGATTCACCTGTTTGCAAATTTTTCAGGGCAATGTAACTCCATTGATCATGGAAAACTGACCTAATCACAGATTTTTTTTTTTTGATGATTTATGTAAACTATTTGAAAAAAATGCAACTTAGGGAGCTGAAATATCTAGGATAGTGCTACTTGGCATGCTATTGGCTGACAATTACAAAACAGCCAATCCAAAAGCACCATTCATTTTCCTTGCCACTGATTGACTGTTTCCCAATAGTAGAGATAAAAGACTGCAGATCTTATCATCTTTGGCAGTGCTAAGATGGTTTCCACTTTACTTTTTAATGTATATTAAAGTATATTTAATTTTTGAGCTATTGAAATAGGCGGTTATAAGCATTTTTATTGGGGTAGTCAAGTACTTGTGAACTTTTTAGCGATTTGCAGGCGGTTCTGGTCCACTAGTCCGACAAATGCCATAGTTCTACTGTAATGTAGAAAGAAATTGGAAATTGCATATCAGCAACAGTTCTTAATAGCAACTTCAGTATGACTTGATGGCATTTGTTAAGGAGCAATTAATGTGCAGTTTTTTTAAAATAAAAATATGTACCAATTAATTATGGTGTAAAGATTCAAAGGAAAAACTGCCAGATGGATGAGTTGTTTAAGGACAGTTATCCTTTCTTCACAAACAACTTTTCTCAAGAACAGTGAAAAAGACCAAAGGTTGTGAACTATGACTATTAATTGACACCAATGACGGTGCACCTGGATAAAAGTAGCTGGTGGCTATTTACACTTTCTTCATTCCTCTGGAGTTGAAACTGACAAATATATGGGACTTTATAGGAGAACTAATGAGATTTTAAAAATAGCTGAAATTCAAAGGCTAAATAAATCACAAAATAATATTTCAGTTATTTTCTAACAGCAGATATCAGTTGTTTGCAGCTTGTTGATTTTCAGTTGTGCTCTTTATTTTAGGAGGGAGATTTTGTCATTCGAACCCATCATGTTGAGTACTGTGATGGGGGTATACTGGACCCTGATGACATCCTCAGTGATTTGGTCGAGGACAAAGACAAGGTAAGAATGTGTGCATTGTGTGAATTATTCTTCTTAAGGAAGGAATTTTAACATTCAAATTATGTAAATGCTCCTTAGTAAATATTAATATAAATTTACAATTTCCAAATCTCGAAAGATAAGGAATTTGATTTAATTATATGGGTCTGTAAATGTTTGGAAAGGAAAATGAGTAAGGCAAAGTATTGCCTTTCCCAGAATATATGTATATTTTTTACTTTTGGTGTCGATGTCTTTTTCAGGTTTTATCCCTTTCCCTCACCCTGCCATTCTGCTGTACTTCCAGCTGCATCTACTCACCTGTGATTAGCGCTTCTTGTCCTTTTGTCATTTCCACGTCTTCCTCTCCTGTTATTCCTCCTTCTTTTCTTTTACTATAGTTGTTTCTCTAACATTTTTCCAATTTACTAAATAAAGACAGGACATTATATGGCATTCTGGTTTGACGCTTGCGCTTAGATTCTACCATTGGCCCATGAACATGACTCCACAAGGTAGATGTCTGAATATTGCAAAATAAGTTGCCTTTTGGTTTTTGCCATTCTAGCCATCCAAACGTCTGTTTCCCCACCCTTTTTCATCCATTTTTTCTCCCCATTTCCAGTTTTCACATGTTGTACATTTCAACTCAGACCACTCTTAAAATAGCTGTCAGAAATGAATTGTAAACTTTAACATCTGCATTAAACATGTGCCAAAAACTGCCTGAGAAATCTGAGTCTATATAAAAAAATATATGGGCTTTTGAAACAAAATTGTGGAGGAACTCTTTAGATGGTCTATTTGCCAAAAAACAGATGGTTATCTCAAAACAGGCTTACACAGGTAAGCTGTTTTTACCGTCTACAGAGTTCCAGAAAAAACCTGCATTAATCTTCTAATATTTTATACGTCTGATTTGTCTTTATAATGCATTGAAAGCCTACCTACTAAATAGTCCCTGAGACAGCTTAATACGCTGTAAAGAAGGAAAAGTGTATATGCAGCTATCAGTATATTTTGTGTGTTGGACTTTAAATATATGCATGTTCACACTGCAGTTTATTGAGCTGCTATAGCCCACAAGCTATTCCCTCAGATAGAATATTGCTTCTCTAGCAAAATTCAAAGGTAAAGGTTTTAACTTGCCTTCAGCAGAAGGGAATACCATTACCATTTACTTGAGGCAGACCAAATCCATATATTTGTAGTTTTTTTTTTCTTAATTCCCCCTCTAGGAATGTGTTTTTTTTTTCTTAACTCTTCGGAAAAGTCTGGTTTTGAGAGCTCTGTCATAGAGTATGGTATAATGTGATAAACAACCTGGATGAAAGACTTTCTGGCTTAGGACATCAAATGAATCTCACTGTATGGCTCTTCAAATAAAACGGAGTCAACATGTTTTAATGAGCTTGGTTCCTATGGTGAACTGAATTTTTCATTTAGGTCACTTCTTAAAAAAGCCAAGGAACCTGCTGGCGAGAAAGTGTAGTGCAAAACGTATCTTTGTGTCCTTGCCTCACACTGTATGCCTTTAGGGGGATCTAAATTCAGTTGAATATATGGGAATTCTCCTGCACTAATTAATATCAAAGTTGCTAAAGTTGGGATTTTTTCTGTCCTTAAGCACCTTTAAGCACAGAAGCCTTGTCTTTCTTGTTAACCATGAGTCAGGAGTCTTTTCTTTTTTTAATTCAACAACGGTCTTTTTCTATGAAGGTTTTAAGAGCAAAATATTTCACCAGCATCTGAGCTGGGAGTGTATGTATTACAAAAACTTGTTGCCATGGTTTTAAGGGTAACATGGAGCAGTTTGAGCTCATGCTGATGGCAAGATTTCACTTGTGCTTTGCTTTAATTTGTAATGCTTTATTATCCAGAGTTGTCTAAAGCTCTCCTTTTGATGAAACTGTACAGCTTACAAGAGGGATTGTTTTTTTCCACAAACAGCTGTGACTCTTGAGATCTGGAACATTTGCTTTTCTTTAAAGTATATAATTTTGTCTTCTTCTGACATTGCACCTGGACAATAAGATGGTATGATATTCCATTTAAATTCTTTTTTTTAATTAATATAATATTATTTTGCAAAAACATTTGCTGAAATCAAGCAAAGCATTGTCTTTACCAGTATGTTTGCTGATTTAAATTCAAATTGTAATTTTTAAGCACTTCCTCACAAAGGCTCAGATTTATTGTAGTAAGAATAAAAGGTGCTTTTACAGAATATGAAAGATTTTGCTTTTGAAATAAGATTTCAAAATAAAAGCACTTTGAAGTGGTATATACTAAATTTAACTGATGTTTTTTTCCTCTGAATTAAAAATGTCTGTGTAATTTATTATGAACCAATGGTGGCCCATTTTCAGTTCTCTGAGTATTTTTGTTTCAAAGATTTTTATTTTATAATAAATAAATAAATAAAATGCCATTTTATTTCAAGGTTCATGACAAGGCTCCCAAATTCATTAAAAAAGACTCAGACCCACAGCATCACAGATCCTTCACTGTATTTAACAATGGGGACTTGCTTTGTGTGGTTGCTAGATAAAATTGACCCCTTTTCCATCCTTGTTTCTCACAGATCTAGTTATTTCAAAAGTCTTGAATTATGTTTCTGTGTCTAGACATGAGCAAAGACTATTTATAACTATTTAATGACCACATATTTACATAACATAAAAGGTTATTGTGCTTTTTCATTTTGAAAGACAGAGAAATGGGTCTTTGTTTCATTTTATCTATAAATTTTATTGATGTCCGATCAAAAGTTTCCCTGATCAAGTTTGATATAAATAACTGTTACTTTTTTTATTGAAACTTTAGCGTTGCTAATAATTGTGACACCATTTATTTTCATTATAAAAAATGTTTATAAAATGTTTCTGCTTTAGTTAAAGGTTCTTCAAATGTTTTTTTTTGTGTGTGTAATAATGCTATTGTAGTAAAATGTGAATTTGATTTATTGCTGTTTTAGTGCATACCAATAAGTGTGTTTGGTGCTGTAGCCTGACAAATGGTGTAAGAGGAGTAAGGCTTTTTTTAATTGATTGTATGAATTATGGGAACATCTGGAGGTCTCTCCTCCCAAAATGCAGTACATCTTCATATGTTGTGTACACCTAACATAGTGTTGTTGTGATATATTTCAGGATTATTGTAAAGTTTTTATGAGCATCTTGCCCAAAATCCAGTCGTACGGTTTTGATAGATGATTTAAATAGATGAGCCTTGATGTGGCCAAGTACTGATTTCTTTTGAAGAAGAAGAAAAACAATGACAAGGTATTATTAAAAAAATTTATCAGTATTAAAATTTCCCTAGTTTCCATAAATTTACATTTTTGAAGAATAGCTTTATGCTAACTACTTTCTCGTTTAATCATGTTAATAATGTCCATATTTTTCTGGACATGATTAAAAAAAAAGCAGTAAGCATAAAGATATCTTTTTATATATTTAATTTTATTTTGATGAAAAAATAAAAATAACACTATGGAGAAATGCTTAATGCAGCTCCAGAATCAAAGCTAGCACGTCAATAAACCTAAAACAAACACATCGTAATGCTTAGATCAAATGATGAGAAGCAAACTACTTCCTGAAAAACACACACGCCACAGGCAAGGCTGATGCACTGACACAAACCAGAAAAATACACAAAAATGACACCCAACAGTGCACATTCCTGAGCACCAGAGATTGAATATAAAATGGAAGTGAAATATTCATTGAATTCTGAAGCCAGGCTCTCGTAGTATTACTGAGCTGAAATGAATAAATGGTTCCTGATCCCAGATGAGTGTTTTACTGTTGGCAGTCTGCCTGGCTTTGGATTTATGATCATAAGAAAAACAGGGGAGCTGAAGTCTGCTAAAGTCACAGGTCAAAATGCAGTTTAAAAAAATCAAATCAAATCAATGGTATCAGATATGTATTGATACGTGGTAAATAATTCAAGTTAAAAAGAAAGTAACCCCTAAAAATAAAATAAAAAATTGAATAGCCTTAACCAGATTTTTAAATCTGAACCTTGATTGTGTGACATAAATAATCGATTACCATGTCATTATTTATCAAGTAAAACCAAAACCATAGGGAAACATTGAGTGAAAATCTATTTGTGTGTATGAAAGATTGAAATGCAAACCAATTGGTTTGTTTCCCCAGATATTTGGCTGTGTGTGCCAGTTCTTATCTACAGACCTTTTCCAGTTTTTGTTTCTGCTTTAATGGATAGTTAATGATGGCTTCTGTGCACATAAGTTTAGATTTAAACAAGTTGAGATCTTGGTAAAGTACAGATGTCCAGATATGTAGAACCCTAAAGCAGAAAGAGTATTGACTTTCTTTTTAGCAAGGTTATACCAGTTTTTTATAATTCTCTTGGTGTGTTTTACATGTTTGCTTTTAGATCAGCATTCATTGGCACTCCCCTCCAACACTCACATTCCCACTAACACCTTTCTTCTCCTGTACCTTAATGTTTTACACTATTTTCAAAGCCCACTCAGAGCTTTATGCCACAGAAACTGAGAAGTAAGCAGAAAATTTGGATTTCAGCATTTTTTATTTACATTGTCAGAAGTGTATTTCCTAATGCATTTATTTAACCTCATTTGCATCTAGAATTTGACTTGCTGCAGCCAGGGCTTGTTTGAAAGGTTAACAGTATTTCATAGGTTGCTGAGAAACATTGTTAGCTTTATAAATTATCGTCAGGGATATTGCCACATATCACCTTCACCCTGCTTTGCTGTCATTGTTACTTGTGAAACATATTTTTTTTAGCCGACAATCATTTTCCACCACAAACAAAAAGGAAAAATCTTGTGACATAAAACTTACCAAAAGTATGAGAAAGGCATACAGTTGAAACCAGATAGTTAAGTATTTCTTTGAAAAAAATCTATCTATCTATCTATCTATCTATCTATCTATCTATCTATCTATCTATCTATCTATCTATCTATCTATCTATCTATCTATCTATCTATCTATCTATCTATCTATCTATCTATC